TGTGTGTGTGTGTGTGTGTGTGTGTCTCCGTGCTTCTGTGTGCGTATACGCTTATCTCGCCAACCAACCGGTTGGTTGGCGGGCTGACTGGCAGTGCGTCTCCATCGCTGTCGCGTCTCTCCCGATCTCGTTTCACATAAACAGGAAGTCGCTGCCGCCGCCACCACCGTCACCACCATAAGCACAGACGTCTCAATCGTCACTCACTCGCTCACGCACTCACACGTCTCCTACTCGTTCTTCTCTTCCTGCCTTCTTGTAGACAATGACGAAGCGCTAGACGCTCAACTATGAAGACGAGCATCATGACGAAGAGCACAGGGGAGGTGGAAGAGGACTATCCGGTGTCGAGCCTCCCTGCCTCCTCCACTTCGTCCGACACGATGGACATCTGCGGTGGTCAGTCGGTGGACGCTGGTTGCGGCTCGTTCGTGTGTTTCACTCCATCCGACCAAGGTGGTGGTGTTCGCTCCACAGTGTACAATCTGCCCGAGTTCTTCACTGACTCGATGCGTGTGATGTACTCCCTCTTCCAGAGTGGCAAACTGACGGACGTGACGTTGCACGTGGAGAAGGTGGAGATTGCCTGTCATCGTATCGTATTGATGGGCGCGTCGCCTTACTTTCGTGCCATGTTCACGTCAGGTATGCGGGAGGAGGGAGTATCGGAGGTGCGACTGCACTACCTCACGCCGCTGGCACTGACTCGACTGGTGCACTTTGCGTACACAGGAGAGATTTGTGTGAGCGAGAGAAATGTCTGTGAGATCCTCTCGGCGGCTATAATGCTGCAGATAAGTGCTGTGATAGGCGTCTGCGCCCAGTTCCTGGAGTCGCAACTGCATGTGTCGAATGCTCTGGGGTTGCACGAGTTTGCCACGTCGGTGGGGTGTCTGGAGTTGGCGCGGAAAACGCAGGTGTTCGTGGACCGGAACTTCTCGGAGATAGTGAAACACGATGAACTGCTGAGCCTCACGCCCGCACAGTTGATGGGTCTGATCCAGCGTGATGAGATTCATGTGAGGTCGGAGGCGGAGGTGTACAATGCCGTGGTGCGGTGGGTGAACCACGACAAGGCGAACCGGTTGGTTAGTCTGATGGACTGTTTGGCTCTGGTGCGATGTCATGCCCTCGCGCCGGGATTCATCAGGAACCAGATAAAGAATTGTAGCCTCTTGGCTGAGGTGCCACAGTCGCGGTTGCACATGCAGTCGGTGTTGAGTGACCTGCTGCAACACAAGAACATCCCAGTGCGATGGAGGGCGGACGCCCATGCCCAAGTGAGTTGTAGCAATAATGTTTATTTTCCTTCCCAAGAAGTTGATTTGGTGCCATTGTCTCCTGGGCTGAATGCCCCAGTGTCCGGATGTAACGACTGTTGGTGTTCTAGGGAGTTGGTTTGCCCAAATCAGTAGATTTGCTTTTGAGTGTTTTTCATTCCCTTTCACACCGTCTTCTGCATGGTGTCTGGCCGCTTTTATGGGTTATCCTAATCGCTCTGTGTAAACGTGATTCTAGTTTGTGTTTGCAATGGTCCGTTTGTTTCATCTCTACTTCAGCAAAGTCCCTTGTGGACGGTTTTGAATTGTTTGATTTTTCCTCATTTTATTTGTGGTCATGATGAGGAGGTTTTGTTGTGGTTCAGGTGGCTTTTTATTTGGGGCAAGTTGCTCCGATGGTGGCACCGAGGGTGTGATTGGGGCTACGAGTGTGGAAGTAGCTTAATTGGTAAGTGAATGGAAGCGGCGAGTTACTGATTCCATGGGTGGCTGGAGCAGCAGTCTATGTCCCTGCCCTGGAGGCTGAATCGCGTGATACCGAATGGGTTTGGCGTAGGAAAGTGGTCAACTAAAACGGCTATCGTTATGTGTGTCATGGTATTGCTGAGTTCAGTTATATTCCGTTAATTGCAAGAACGTGGGTATACTTAGCTCCTCCATTAGTTGATTGCTGGTGATTTTGAGTCATTGGATAATTTGGACCGGGTGAACCGCCTTGGTTTCGGTTTGTTTGTAGGCGGGGTTGAATTCCCCAACATGAACAGAACCGGCCCAACCTTTGATCTGTCTAGGCGTGTGTTTGATCGGTTAGTGAGACTAAAGCATTCCTCTTTATTATGAGGAGCCTTCAAATTGTCTGCAGATTGTGCCTACTTTGTGCAACTCTGTGAGTACCGTTTAGGTGCCTCTAGACTGCGACAGGCGCAGACAGATAGACAGAAAGACGTCATTAGCAGTGGCGTATGTAGAGTGGTAGAGGGGTGGCGTGTTGTCTGCCTTGGATGTTGTGTGACATTTTTACTTTTTTCTTTGCTAATGTTAATGTCTACGTGTGGATGTTGGTGGATGTGCACATTGCCTGTCTGGAGGGGATTAGTGCAGCAGCACTGGATGTGCATGGCTTTGATTGGATTGCCAAATTAATGAGTTTCACCTCATTCAGGTGCCACTCTTTCCTAATTCGGTGTAGGCAAAGTTGGTGGTTTGGTTATTTGATTGGGGTGTCAACTTCACTTATGTGGTACCACCCATTTTTTACTGGGGCAAATCGTTCTTTTCCCACTTTTGCAATGAATAAAGTGGAGGTAAAAGCAGTTGTGTTGGGTAACCTGGCCACGATGCTGAACAAGAATAAGGCATTTACTCCTTAATATGTCTTGAAGTCGAGTATTGTGCTTCTTGTGGCTTGTATTATGTACACCGTTGTTCGGACGTATGCATTATGCTGCGTGTGTGTGCATCGGTCTCTCGGTGCGTTGGTGCCTATTGTTTTCTTAATTGTACCCTCTATTGT